TGTTATATACTTACTTAGTACTTCAGAAAGTGATCGACAGATGCGCCATATTGGCCAAAATGACCACGAAATTACATATCACACGAATGGATATTACATATCATATATAGATTTACTATTAGGTAAACTTGTTCCATCAGAAGAATTGTTCAACGTAGTAGATACCGAAGAACTTTTTGAAAAAGTTTATCCGTCTATTGAACAGAATTATCTAAATAGGACATGGTTGTGTGAGCGATCAATTTCAGCTACAAAAAATGATGTAGTACACCAAATTAATGAAAGGATACAGATTATGACACCAGATGAAAAACTGTATAAATCAATAGACACAATGATGAATCAAGATAAAAAAGTGAACTTCCCAATAAATTTTTTAAATCTACCGAATCCGCCTGCTATGCCTTTGCATGTATTGAAGCTAAAAATTGGATCACCAGTCATATTATTATGAAATCTCAATTCGTCAAAATTATGTAACGGTATAAGATTATGTATAAAAACTTCTCAACAACATTATTGAGGCAGTAATTCTAACTGGCAAAGAAAAGGGAAAATCCGTTCTTATACCACGAATTCAATTAATTTCAAATGATTTACCATTCTGTTTTAAACGGTTACAGTTTCTTCTACGATTGGCTTACAGTATAACTATCAATAAGGCACAAGGTCAAACGTTCCAATACTGTAAAGTGAATTTGGGAGAATCCCGTTTTACACGTGGCCAACTTACCAGATGCACCAGAACACAAGACAGTAAATATAGTGCATAAGAATGTATTGTAATATAGGCATTCAGTACATAACTATCTGTTAAGTATTTTTGTATAATGAATAGAAATTAAGAAAAAAAAAAAACTTAAAAATGAAACAAGAAAAGTCATGTATTCTTAATTCTAAAAATAACTAATTTAATAAAATATACATACATGGACAAATATTCGACAAATACTAACCCAGCGAAGCGAGTTTTCGCAGCTATTGTACATATTTTACCAGATACCTCACGAAAAAGATTTTGCTCCAGTGTGTATATTCAAATGCCTTTTCAAATTAATTTGTCTAATACATGTATATTCACAGATATTACACGAAAAAGTTTTTTCTCCGGTGTGTATTTTTACGTGTTGTTTCAAATCAGTTTTTCTTGTACATTTATATTCACAGATATTACACAAAAAAGGTTTTTCTCTGGTGTGTATTTTCATATGCCTTAGCAACTTACTTTTTGCAATAAATCTATGTTCACATATATCACATGAAACAATGGTTTTACACCAGTGTGTATTTTCATATGTGTTTGCAAATTACTCTTTGTAATACATCTATATTCACATATATTACACGAAAAAGGTTTTTCACCGGTATGACTGTTTTTTGGACCTCAGGAAAGCGTTTGATACTGTTTATATCCCTATTCTTGTCCAAAAACTAGAACAATTAGGTATCAGATATGTTGCGCTATCTCTCTTTAAGAGTTACCTCTCTGATAGAATGCAAAGAGTGAAATTGGGTCATTACATCAGTGAAGACGTTGCTGTATCTTATGGTGTACCACAGGGTAGTGTGTTAGGACCAACGATTTTTCTTATATATATTAATGACCTCTGTAATCTAAAAATTGACCATGCGCGCATCTTTTCCTACGCGGATGATACTGCAGTCGTTTTTTCCGGGAAAAACTGGGCTGATGTGAAGAATAATGCTGAATCTGGCCTGCACTTGATTAACAACTGGCTAAAAAATAATCTGTTGACCCTGAACACAGCCAAAACTAATTACATCTGTTACAGTATTCAAAATAATTTACAACCTGACAATAACTTCAATTTATTAATTCACTCTTGCAATCCTGATACTGAACCCACTAATTGTGATTGTCCGGCTATAGACAGAATGGATAAAACAAAATACCTGGGGGGTTGTGATAGACCAGCGGCTCTCTTGGCATTCGCACATTGAACTAATCTCTACCAGATTAAGAAAACTGATCTGGATATTCAAGACCTTGAGACATGTAGTGCCTGGAGGGTGGGGGGTTGATCATAACCCCAGAAGGAATATTTTTAAAGAAATCTACACCTCACTTGCGCAATCAATCCTAACTTATTGCATTTCCATTTGGGGAGGAGCGGTTAAAACAAAAATGATTGAGGTGGAACGTGCGCAACGTGCTTTACTGAAAGTGATGCTCTTTAAACGTAGAAGATTTCCAACGCACACTCTATACGCTGTTTGTAAAGTCTTATCTGTAAGAAAGCTGTACATTCTCAGCGTTATATTAAAAAGACATAAAACTACACCTTATGTCTCAAACAATTTTACAGCTAGAAGAAAAAAAAATGTTATTCCACTTACCAAAACTAGAACCGCCTTTGCTAAAAATCAACTCAACAGTCGTTCGGCCTATCTATATATTAAAGTGAATAAAATCGTAGACATATATAATAAAACACTACACGAATGCAAAAAAATTGTTACCAACTATTTAATACCTCTAGATTACGAGGAAACAGAAATTATTCTTAGACACACGGCATAACTTAACACACACACAAACACACACACACACACACACACACACACACACACACACACACAATTCTTATTTTTCATATTTTTATGTACCCCTAATACTGTTATGGATAATAAACTTTATGTTAACTAGTAGCTATAGAAGAGCGAAGGCACCTAATACACGCAAGATTTTTGCTTAAAATGTGTCTTCGATCACTATTTGTAAATATAGACAATATGTTATCGAAATAAATTATTGTGGGGTATCTATATAGTTTTCTTATCTGGTTGGGTTCTATAAATATATAATTATAAATGAGAATGAAAAGATAAATATACATAAATATCAATAACATAAAATAAATATAAAAATACTTAAATAAATAAAAGCCCAACCAGATGGAGGCCCTCGGCAGGGGAAACCAAACGGCCGAGGGTTAGGGGTAAAGGGAAAGAAACCGGCGGACGATGCCGGCGGTATCGAGGAGCACCGCCTTCTGCATTTGAGCCCGGAGCGGTCCGCCACGTAGTCCCAGTCGCCTCAGATGACCCGAGAGGCTGACTGGGATTAGCCCGTTTGCAGAGACGACTACAGGAATAATTGCGGTCGGCAGACCACCCCACATGTCGGTCACCTCGTGAGCCAGGTCCAGATATTTTGTTTGCTTGTCTGTTTCGGCTTTCACGAGGTTCTCGTCATACGGAATGGTAATGTCGACCAAAAATATCCTTGACTGTGCCCGGTCCATCAGCACAATATTAGGCTTATTCGCAATAATAGTCCTGTCTGTGATGATGGCCCGGTCCCAGTAGAGCCTGGCGCGGTCATTTTCGAGCACGGCTTCCGGCAAGTACTTGTAATACGGCAACTTCCGGTCCACGAGACCGTATTTCAGAGCGAGCTCCTGGTGTAGAAGTCTGGCTACTAGGTTGTGCCTGTGCAAGTACTCAGAGTTAGAAAGCGTCGAACAACCGGAGATGACATGCCTAAGTGATTCACCGGGATGGCGACAAGCTCGACAGACGTCGACGGTGCCATCCTTTAGGATGTGTCTCCGATAGTTGTTGGTCTTAATAACCTGATCCTGTATTGCACAGACAAAACCCTCGGTTTCCCCGAAGAGGTCACCGAAACGTAGCCAGTTGAGGGAGGCGACTGTATCTACGAAGGGCTCATGAAGAGCCCTGTAGTACCTCCCGTGGAGCTCCTTCTCCTTCCATACGGTCTCCCGGTCGGAAATGCTAAGCACTGCTGGGTCCTGCCATTGCTCGTGGGCTAAGGATAGAGAGGTAAGCCCTTTATCACTAGAAATGACGTCATTATAGAATGGATCATCCGATCTCGCCAGGAAGTAATCACGGAGGCTGCACACTTCGCGATTATGCATGGTGAGCGCGCTCAGAAAACCACGCCCACCATGCTTTTGCGGCAAGTACAGCCTCATTACCGACCGATCTCGGATGATGCATCCTATGGGACGTCATGATAGTGCGGACTTTTCTATCCAGGGCGTTAAGTTCGGTCTGAGTCCACCTGAGTGTGCCAAAGGTATATATGATGACAGGCATGACCCAACCGTTATATGCGTGTGTCTTATTCACACCGGACAAAAGGCTGTTAAGCACTTTGGTCAAGCGTGCATAAAACACGTCGCAAACTGACTGTTTCATACCAGCCTCATCGATACCGATGTTCTGTGACATACCCAGGTATCGGTATGTTTCAGCCTCGGAAAGGGTCTTTAAGTTGACGGGCATAGATAAATCTATGCCCTCAGAGTTAGCAACCCTTCCCCTTTCAACATGAAGGACCGCACACTTATCCGTCCCCAGCTCCATTCCAATGGAATTGCTAAATTCACAAGTGATGTTTAGCAATTCCATAAGATGGGAGCGACTGGAGGCGAATAACTTGAGGTCATCCATATAGAAAAGGTGGGTCACTTTTGTTCCTCCTTTCCGTAGCTGAAATCTTCTCCCGGAGCCCTCCAGTAAGGTACTGAGAGGGTTCAGAGAGAGGCAGAACCAGATTGGACTCAGACAATCGCCCTGGAAGATACCCCTTCTTATCCTTATGTGGTTCTCCGCAGCCGTCATCCGCTCGCCCTGATAACAGAGGATCGTACTCCACTGCCCCATACACTGCTCGAGGAAGTCTCTAACTGCACAATCAATCTTGTACAGCTCGAGGACCCTCTTTAGCCATGCATGGGGCACCGAGTCGAATGCTTTTCTGTAGTCTATCCAGGCGGCGGAGAAGTTCCGACGGTTGCGTTTCACCACTTTGTCAATGACCGCGTCAATGAGGAGTGGTTCCTTGGTTCCACGACCACCGCCCCGACATCCATTTTGAGCGCGTGACATCACCTGATTTAGCTCCAGGTGACGAGTGATTCTCGCGCTCAAAATGGATGTCAGTGTCTTATACATAGTGGGTAGACACGTGATGGGGCGGTATTTGCTCGAGTCTGTGGTATCCTGACCTTTAGGAACCAAGTGAGTGATCCCAGTAGTGAAGAGGCTCGGGAGCGACTTCTGATCGAGAGCCTCTTGATACTGTCGGGCGAGCACAGCGTGACACACTACGAACCTCTTCAGCCAGTAATGATGCAGCCCGTCGAGCCCCGGACTTTTCCAGTTCGGGGCCCTACGGACCGCCTCAGCCACGTCTTCAGGCGTTATGGTGACGGGGTCCATAGGCGTAACACTTTCACTCTGGCTCGCCACAACTTCCATCCAAGGGCCCTCGCTGTGGTTTACGGGCTCTGACCACAGGCCACGCCAAAATGCGACAGTGTCAGCCTGATCCGGTCCTGGGCCCGCTCCACATACCTCTGGTCGCTCCAATGATTTATAGAGCCTCTTCTGATCACTCTGGAAGAGACGATTTTGGTTGAACCGCCTTGACCTCTCGCTAAATCGTCGAATCCGCTTCCCCCAAGCAGCGATTTTTTGCTTCAGGTCATCTATGCGCTCCGTTAGTTTCTGCGTGATATCCGGCTGGGGCAAACTAATATTTGTCCCAGAATACGCCATTCTAACGGTGCGCACAACTCTCGGTCCATTATTACCCGACCTGAAGCTTGTCAGTCTGCCGATAAGGGCCCTTGCCTTTGCGATACGGTCCTCGATTCTTTTTCTCCAGGCTGGGATGGCGCTACCTTGTTGAGTAGCACGTCCAGCCATGGGAAGTTTGGCGCCAATAATACGGCATACTGCCAGTGCGGCGCCAAACAGAATTGAGTCCGTCTCGCAAAGGTCCCGGCTGGCTTCCAAATAGGTCACCAGCATTGGGTTAAGAGCCCGCACGACAGCCCGATTTCGCTTGCTAAGGGGTATGCGGGGAAGTCGCGGTCGATTTTCGAGAGGCATGCTGCGCGTTTCCAGCATCGACTCTTCCAATATGCTCCTCATTTTCTCTAGTTCGTGGGGGATTATTCCATCATTGTCTGAATCAACCACAAATGGAATATTGACGGCAGCGTCCACATTTGCAGTTTGCTGCGCAAATAAATTATTATTATTATTATTATTATTAATGTATTTTCATATGTTTTAGCAAATAACTTTTTGTAATACATCTAAATTCACAGATATTACACGAAAAAGGTTTTTCGCCAGTGTGTAATTTCATATGTGTTTGCAAATTACTTTTTCTAATACATCTATATTCAAGGTATGACACGAAAAATGTTTTTCAACGGTGTGTATTTTCATATGTGTTTGCAAATGACTTTTTGTGATAGATTTATATTAACAGGAATTACATGAAAAAGGTTTTTCACCAGTGTGTATTTTCATATGTTTTTGCAAATGACTCTTTGTAACACATCTAAATTCACAGATATTAGACGAAAAAGGTTTTTCACCGGTGTGTTTTTTCATATATGTTTTCAAATGACTTTTTGTGATAGATTTATATTCACAGGTATTACACGAAAAAGGTTTTTCACCAGTGCGTATTTTCATATGTTTTTGCAAATAACTCTTGGTAATACATCTAAATTCACAGATATTACACGAAAAGGGTTTTTCACCGGTGTGTTTTTTCATATGTGTTTGCAAATGACATTTTGTAATACATCTATATTCGCAGATATTTCACGAAAAAGGTTTTTCTCCGGTGTGTATTTTCATATGCCTTTGCAACGTACTTTTTGTAATACATTTATAATCACAATTATTACAACAGTGCACTTGATTAGTGACGTGCACTTTAAGATGTGCTAAAATGCGACGTTTTTGAGATGTTTCAAATTCGCAAATATCACAGTTATATATATCCAACTGTTACAGTTATATATATATCAACTTGTGTCTGAACTGCATCTGAGTTCTTTTGCGTCTTATGACTGTATGATATGTGCACGGCGAGAATATCTTTTGTAAAAAAAACTTTTTTCTACAATCATCACATTCAAAAATGTATTTTGTTGATGCTTCAGATTTGTTTTCCGTAAGTATATTTACACTCTGTTTCAAAGCTTGCTTTTTCATAACTTTTGCAGGATGCTTCCCTTTTTAATAACTGCTTGAGTATCTCTTTTCAGTTTATGTTTTGATTTAATAGTAGGTCTTTCTAAATCGAGTTTTCCTTTACGAACATCATTTATGTTACACTCAGTAGAATTCGATTTAATCTTTTTCTCAATCTCTTTTGAAAAATTATTTGTTTGTATACAGGGTTGTTCTGAAATACAAATGAATCAAACATTTTATTTATTGTAAGACATTGTATCTTTATTGTGAGGTAGCTTAGACGGTATACAGCGGGCGGAATTTATGCCTTACAAGGGAGATATAAAGAAATTATACTATTGTGCATAATTACACTCATTTAATGTTGCAAAATATAAAGTATTTTAGCCAATTACTTTGGATAATGTCTCTCAATTTAATTTTTGAAAGGGAATAACGGTAAATATTCTAAATATGAATAATAATGACGACATTCCTCAGACTGTGTTATAATTTCATTAATTTAATAATCGCTGGTTCGAATCCCACACGGAAAGAGTTAAAAAGATATATACATACATTTTGACCAGTATTTTCTTTCGTTAAGAATCTAGTCTAGTAAGTAGTATGAGAATAATCTATTCTTGTAATCGCTGTTTCGGATTTCACACAGAACTAGTGTTACACACACAGTACAGTCGAAGTTGGCGTGTAAGTGCGGCATAAGAAAACTCATCATCACATTTTATATCCGTGGGTTGCGTAAGAGACGACTTTGGGTTTGGTTTTCCTACAGATAGCGGTATAACCACCTCGTCTACTTCAGATGCAAAATATTCAGACCGGCGACAGGCAACAATGTCAGAGGTGCTCACGTCTGGTTCTGCGATCGTCAATCCTATGCCAAGCGTGACGACTGACTCAAATCCTCCCTACATCGGGAGAGATCCTTCCATGTGCAGCAGTGGGAGTTTGCGGAACGATTAAGATAGAGGAATTATTTGTAGGCCATACAATGACTCAAAACAAGCCCTGGTATCTCAGGGGCTAGCAGTTTGCCTTAAGTTTCACAGCACGCTAGCAACCCAGGTTCGTTCTTCACAGGCCCCCAAAAAATTGTTAATTTTCTATGTGTATATATAGGTTGACCCAGAAATCGACGTCAAGTCGGAGTCGGATCATAGGTTAAGTCGTAATAGTTAACAGAAAAATTTAAATATTTTTTGTGTTAAAAATCTTCTCACAGCTTTTAACTCCTGTTGCTACAACATTTCTTCTTTCAATTTTATTTTATTATGTGATTTTGTTTTTGCCTAACCCAGGATCTCATAATTAGCAGATGTACTAACAACAACTTTTTATGTGTACGTGTATATAGTCGCGTGATAGGTTGGCATAATAGATGACAGAAAAATTTAAAAGAAATCTTTGCTATGTATTTTAAAAATTACAGGCATTTATAAAAAAAATCGAGAAAATCTACATCCTGTAAAGGTCTTTTAACTCCTGTTGCTATAAATTTCAATTCTTTTGATTTTTTTTCTTATTATATATCTAATCCTAAATATATATACTATTACTATTCTAAAACTACTAAAACTATATACAATTCTTATAAATAACATTTAAAAATGAATCGATCTGAGCACTCTTATCCCTTCCATCCTTATCCATGGTTCTGCGTCAACTTAGTGTTTATATACTCTTTAGCGTGGTCTACAAGGTGACATTTGTGAGTTCGAACGGATCCCATCGGGAGTTTAGTGGTTAAATGACGGTACTGAAAAGAAATATAAGGTCACCTGGGGCAAGTGTGACATAAATTAATTGAAACTATAATCGACATTTAAATACTTCTACTCTGTAAAGATTTAATATAGATAATTCAGTTTCATAACATCAATTATTAAGTGGTTGTATGTTTGATCAAGCATTTTAGTATATACAAGTAGCATTTTGTAATTTGAGGTAATTAAAACTAATTGCCGAACGTGGATTTCACCGAATACGAATATTCGGCCGAACTTTATTTTACTTAATATTCGGCCGGACCCTGCCACTCACTACACCTACCCCGCTACACCTGTCATGCCTTTATATCATCATCTTGTACTGAGCAAATTGCCGGCGCACATGCTTATGCTTTGACTTTTTTATGCGAAAAAAATTTCGTATTGTTATTCTTAGTGAAAATTGACAAAAATGAGTGGCAGGAGATCTACTATTTGGATTTATTAAAGAAACTAAAACCAAGTAAATTGAAATTTTAATAATGTAATGTTCTTTGTTTGATTCCAAAAACATTTTATCAAGCTTTATATTTGCTATAATTGGAAATAAATCTACGGTGCCTCAAAAACATAAGCTGTACAAGTAGATTTAACCCATAAATAAAATATACTTTCAACAGTAAAATTATGAAAGACATGGCATTACTCAGTTCATACATTTCAATACAGTGGACACTGAGTATACTACTTTACCGAATATTCGGTGATTTAGCCGAATATTCGGCCGAATACGAATATTCGGTAAACTGCCGAATATGCCGAATACCGAATATGAAACAAATATTCGGCCCATCTCTACCATATAGTCCTGACCTTGCACCCTCAGATTTTCACCTGTTTCGGTCTTTTCAGAATTATTTGGATAGTTTTAGGTTAACATCAAGAGGGGACTGTCCAGCCTACTTGTTGCATTGTTTTGACCAAAAATCCCAAGATTTCTACAACAACGGGATTATGTCACTACCTACTACTACTACTACTTACTACTAGATGGCAACAAGTTGTCGAACAAATTGGCACATATAATTAAATGTAATTAAACTTTGAAATATTTTGCTTTCCGAGGTCGGAGTTGAAACACCGGCAATTTCCTGGCTCCAGGCTGCTACTGAAAGTTGCTTGACAGCAAAACCCAATAACTGAGTTTGGTCTAATCCAGGATCTCATGCTCATTGGCAGATGTACTTACAACAACTTTCTCAGACATGTTTATAGTCTTTTCCCGTTTTATCTTAATAACACCTTGGGTCACCACCGGCGAATTCAGTTCTTGCTTAAAACAACATAATTGTATGGCCTACAAATAATCATTTGGGTCACAAACAATCATTGGGTTTGTTCATGTGTAATAAAAGAATAATTTTTTTTATGTACAGTAGTACATCTGCAACTACATGATGTAAGAAAAATTTCTAATATGGTGTTTTATTTTTATTTTTTAATACGGTTTTTTAAAATAAATTCATTTACCTATGTTAACATCATCTATTTTACTCTTTGCACCTAATGAAATTAGTGGCAAGTCGTTCTCCGAATCCTCATGTCGATCTTCAAAAGCATCAATCTCCAAGTCTTCTTGTTCTTCAGCAGTACCTAGAATGAAACAGATTCTGACTCAACATATAAAATAAATAAGCCGTGGTAGCTCAATGGTTAACGCTCGCTGTAAATAGGGTTCGATACCCGCCGGCACCAATGAAATTGTTAATTGCAATTTTAAGTGCTGGTTTACCACGTGCTCAGCGGTGAAGGAAAACATCGTGAGTAAAACTTCATGTCTGAGGAATAAGAAAAAAAATATTTCGAAGACATGTGAAGTTCGTCAACACGCATTTGGGCAGCGCAGCGGACACTTCCTTGCCCTAAACCCTCTCAGAAATGAGGGGAGGCCTGAGCCCAGCAGTGGGACGTATATAGGCTGTAACTTTACTTTTTTTTACTTTATATAAAATAAAATCTAATATTTTTTCCAAGCGACTAGATCATTACAGTCCATCACACAGCTTATGGGCCTGAGCCACCCACTTTCATTACCATACTGCATGTTTTATAAGCTATGTGTAATAAGATGAAGTGGCAATGGGCCGAAGAACTGAAAACCGATAGAGAAGAAAGGTTCTCCTAAAGTGACGTAATGTTGACGAGTGACGACCTGGTAAGACATGCAGGAAGTCGATGTGTGCAGGTGCCGCAGGACCGTGCTTTGTGGTGTTACTTGGTGGAGGTTTGTTCAGCAGTGGACTTGTGAAGGGCTGTAATGATGATGATGATTTATTCACCTCATTTAGTGAGTGTTCTGCCACAACTTGTTTTAGTATGTGAGTGCTTGCCAGTACAATAATACCTTGAGCACCTTTTCTACATATATCCTCTCGTCTGTCCAAACGCCATATTCTGGCGTCGAGTGATAGCAAACTATTTGTAACATATATATGATATATATCATACATATATATATATATATATATATATATATATATATATATATATATATATATAAAACATATTTATCTGTTATGCATAATCTGATCGCTTATTTAATAACGTTTCCGTTGATATATGATTTTAATATTTATTTTATTTATTTATTTATTGCACCAACAATGTACACAATATTACATGCAAAAATATCAGAGAAACAAAAAAGAAAAGAAAAAACATACAAAGTGCTACTTCAATTATAGGCGCAAATAACATTCTCTAGTCTCGTACATTTACTTATGTTGAGAAGCAATTTAATTTATTTATATTAAAATGTAAGCATTAATTATAAGGAAGTTATTATACAATTAATTAACTTATCAGTACTATTAACAACAACAATAATAAAATTTTATCAGTGCATTACGTTGTCAAGTATGTCAACATGTACAACTATGTCAAGAACAACATATTATTTAAAAACTAATAAAGATAAAAACATCAATTAAAATTTAAACAAGGCCAAATGTCATTAAAATAAAAATGTATATTATAAGTCAAAATTAAAAATTGAGTGAATGCACACATATTTTAATTTAAAATTACATAATAATCGAATTATTCTGTTATTACTTTAGCTGCAAAATTTTTAAATTGTGTTAAGGAGTTTCAAAAAATATCTAGCTGAGAAGATCCTTTTTCAGTTTCACTAGATATAGAGTTCTGAATGAGATTGTAACTCCTCATCGCTCTGTTTAATGGAGCATACTGACCCAACTTTGACTTAATTGAATTACTTTTAAAAGGAGGTTTCTTAAGTCTGTGTGGCTTTATAGGTACAGCAATATTTACTCGAGATAAAAGATCAGGGGTGTCAAAATTTCCATTTATTAGCTTATACAGAAACATGACGTCAAGTAATTCCATACGGTGTCGGAGTGATTTGAGGCGAAAATGTAGTAGTCAATCGTTCTAGCTTGGGAGTTTCTTGGCTAAGTTGCAACCGTAAGACAAATGCCATAAAAATCGCTTTTGTACACTCTCTAAGCGTTTGATATATGTACCGTAGTGCGGATTCCACACAGTACTGCCATATTCTAACATACTACGTACGAGGCAGTATATACCATAATTTTTGTCATGGGATTCCTAAATTCTTTACAGCTTAGAAGAACAAAGCCCAACATTCTAAGAGCCTTATTTATAATATTGTCAATATAAATATTGAAGCGTAGTTTGTTGTCATTGATGACTCCTAGGTCTCGAATGTGGCTAATCTCTCTTAGCGGCGTATCATTGATATGATAGAATCTGGTTGGTAAATGTCTCTTTCTGCTCAATCGCACTACTTGGCATTTATCAGGATTCATGCTCATTCCGTTCTCAGTACACCACATCGCTAAATTATTTAAATCCCTCTGCAGTAATAATGCATCATCAGATGGTTAACTATTCTATATAATTTTAAGTCGTCAGCGAACATTGAGAATTTAGAGTGCTGAAAACATTTTCCAATGTCATTGATGAAAATGTTGAAAAAAAAGGACCTAAGTGAGACCCTTGAGGTACTCCGGATTTAGCAGTAAATGCTTTGGACTTATGCCCCCCCGCCACAACTATTGATTGTCTGTCTGAAAGGTATGATCTGCACCAGTTTAAAAACATACCGGCTATTCCGATGGAGGAAAGTTTGTGCAACAGTGTTTCATGATTTACCCGGTCAAATGCCTTACTGAAATCGGTGTATATTGCATCGTATGATTTCCCGTGATCAACCCCCTCAACAAGGTCCTCGACGAATGAAACCAAGTTAGTTGATGTGGAACGCGACTTTACGAAGCCATGCTGTTGGAGTGCGATAACCTGTTTCAAGTGACATGAAATTATTGGGCACAAAAGGGATTCAAAAACTTTCGCAAATGTTGGAAGTATAGATATAGGCCTATAATTTTTTACTGCACTCGTGTCACCTGTCTTGAATAAAGGTATTACAAGAGCACTTTTCCAATCTGTTGGGAATATGCCAGAATTTAAGGAGCTATTAATAATAATACTAAGCGGCAGAGCAAGTGCTCCAGCACATCTTATGGCAAAAATATAAGGTATTCCATCGTAGCCGGCACCCTTAGTAGGGTCAAGTCTTTTTAAAACTCTGAAAACTTGGTCTCTAGTTACCGATATTGTAGTTAAGTAATTAGCACCTAGTGGCAAATGAGATTGCCCTGGAGTGGGTAAGTTTTCAGTGTTGTAAGCCGAGGAAAACTGAGATGCAAATAGATGATGATGAAGCGACCTTTGTGCCGAAAGACATTTGTGCAAGGTAAGAATTGGTCCCACCTCTTTTATGTTTAATAAAGCTCCACATAAGTTTAGAGTTAGAAGACAACGATGACTCTAGGCGCTTTATGTATAATTTGTAGCTTATGTTGTGAAGTTTTGTACATCTATCCCTTAGTATTTCAAAGGTGATTAAATCTCGGGGGTTGCCATATTTGCGATATTTATTTCGATATTTCAGTTTCTCGTTGATTACCCTAACTAATGCAGTGGAAAACCACATTGGATATTTACCAGAGCGTGGTTTGTATTTTGGAACATGTTTGATTATGAGGAGCCCAAGGATTTTATAGAAATATGTCACCATGTCGTCAACGCTAGTACAGTTAGATAATTCTTTTACTCATTGGTTGTTGTTTAGTTCGCTTATTGTCTTTTCATAGTCTGCTTTGTGGAAGCAGTATCTGGCTACATCTTGGGACTTTAAATTTTCTTTATGGTCGATTTCAACACAGAATTCGATGGGAAGATGCAGTGGGTCAATTTTGTATAAAGGGTCAGCACTTTCACAAACGTGTGAGATTGTCAAAGAGCTCACTATTAGGTCCAGAATTCGATTTTTTATGTTTAGGCATGAATTGTATTGTAATAAATTATTTAATGACATGAAATCCACTATCATATTGTTTAACAAACTATTTGTAGTTATAGGCGTTAGTGCAAGAGTAGGCGTCTTGTTCCAACAAAGACTGCTCAAATTAAAATCACCAAGAACAATAATATTAGAACTGGAACTTGGTGTTTGTAACAAAGTGTTCCAAAATATGCTTCTTTACAGGGGGAGGAATATAAACGTCACATATGTACAAATAATCAATTACACCCTTCTTATCGAGTATTTCGATTTTAACCCAAATATCCTCACAGTCCTACTGACAATCATACATTCGGTAGGATATAAAACGCTTAGAGACGGCTATTAAAACTCCACCCCCCACTTTTTTACTTTGAAATCCACTACTTTCCCTGTCTCGCCTGTAAACTATATAACGATCGTCAAATAATTCCGTGTCCGAAACACTACTATTTAGCCATGTCTCTGTAAAAACTATAACATCATAATTGCTGCCCACAACCTTACTAAATAGCTCAATTGTTTTGGTTTTTAAGCCTCTTACATTTTGATAGAAACAGCTTAAGGGGCCCCTAAGTACAAACATATTCAAATTTAGCGGCATTGTGACAACTTATTTAATAAAGCTTTTGCATATTATATATGACCTGACCGCTCATCCTTCCGCAATATATCTTAGAATCCCTCACCCAAACGAATTTATACCCAAGTTCTTTGGCTTTGGAACGTGTTGCACCATGCAAGTGCTTGTTCGCGCGTGTAAGATGTTCCACTACATATACAGATGTTTTCTTAGTCCCACCGATGCCTAAGTGGCTGGTGTTCAACTTGTCATCTCGATTATTTCTGTTAAACATACTAGATGCCGCAAGGAA